TTGTAATAAAAAACAATTGTAAGTTTATAAAAAAATTAATCATACACAAGATTTTATATAGATTATTTGCCTTATATCTTTTATTGACTACAGTATAATAACTTATTATAACTTATTGCTATACTATGTATAAAATAGTTTCCCAAGAATTTTGTGCAGTACCTCTAAACTTTATTATAAAGCTTAATTGAATGCCAATATAAAAATAAATACAAAAATAAAAAAGAACATTCATGGTTATCACACGAATGTTCTACTACCATGTACTAGATTTTATTTGTATTTGGGTGGTAATTACTTTTAGACTTTTTATACCGCATATATTTGATGACAGAATAAAAAAGATTCAATGCACTAGCAAGGAAATTGGAAAGAACATTCTTTTGCAAAATTATTTTAAGAATTTTTGCGAATATTTTTGAAAAATATATGTATTATATATATTTTAATAATCTTGTCATATTTCGTTATTAATTATGCAAATTATGAATGAAACCACACACACACACACACACACAAACACAACACACACACACAAACACACACACACACACACATTTTTTTCTCAATTATCTTGACATGTGCTATTGCGATTGGGCATGAAATTAATATTGTAACGTATGATAATGTTTAACGTAAAAATTTAAATAAATGTCTCAAGAGACTGATATTTTGAGTTTTATCTAATTTCGAAATTTTTACAAAAAATTATCTAATTAAAAGAAAATGTTAAGATAAATTGTTTGGAAAATTCATTGGAGCTGACGTAATTTCGTTGTATCTTCTTAAATTATGTACTTCTTTTTGAAAATGTGAGAGCTATGAAATAAATCCACAGCAATTTTAATTGTGTTAATAAACTTTCAAAACGAAATGATTGAAAATATACCTTTTCAATTTCAGTTTGCAGAGATTTTTGTTTAGATTTAGGCGTTAATATTTCTGAAGATTTTGTAATTTCAAACTTTTGCAAGAATCCCGACAATTCTTGAATCTTCTGATTTATATTTCTGAAATACGATTGATAATCCTTTAATTATATTGACTTATTCTTTATATCTCGACAAAGTGTATATTATTCATTTAAACTTACACTAATTTTAACTTTTCCTGTTTCTGATTACCTGTATAGTCTCCCTAAATTAAACAGTAATAAAAATAACTTTCTTTCAGACTTAATATTCTTAGACAAAATATGCATATTAAATTATCATACCGCTTTTTGTGAACGTTTCTGTATTGTAGGATAATCTTCAATGTCGATTGCGAATGGAATATCATCTAATAAATAAATATTTTATATGATATGATATAAAGTATTTCATTATAGTATAATCGAATATTTTACGCTCGATGAATTAAAAGTATGAAAGTTTGATTACAAGTCTTGCTTTTTTTTTATCTATTGGATTATACCTTCATTTCTTCTCGATATCTTTTCCATGCTTTTATTGAAGCTTCGTTTATCATGTCTCCATTCTTTTACAGTATCTAAATTCCTGTGTATTATACAATACAATTCATGCAATTTATGATTAATAAGAATAGTTCAAGTTGATGCCTTACTTAATTTTTTGAATTGTTGCCGATTGTGTGCTCAGCAAATCTTTCGCTTTAGAAATCCATTGCTGCCGTTGTTCCATAACAATATTAATACCTGTACCTTCGCATCTAAATACAAAATATTGAAACATTTCTTACATAAATTTATAAATTAGAAAAAGATAATTATTTTTCGTACTTTAAATTTTCGCATTTTGTATTTCAAATTATAGATATATTAATTCATATATCGATTTTTTTGTTATTATCAATGAAAATATATAATAAGATTTAACAGATGTATAATTAAAATCTAATTAGCTTTTTTGATATCGAGATAATTCTCCAAGCACGATAATATGCTGGATGAATCTTTCAACTGCATTGGTCGCAAGTGCATTCGCCGCATGTCTTTTGTGACAATATCGAAAACCAACTCTGGGTGTTCAATATTTCTACATTTCATTTTTTCCTTATTGAACACTGTAGAACGACATGATTTCGCGAGTGCAATGTGTTTCGTTTCGTTACTGATAGTTTTAATTCTACATTCTTTTTCGCGATAATGCTTATACGTTATCAGTTCTGTAATATTTTGTCTAATGTAACACGATCTGGGCGACGGTCCGATTAAATGCAAGATTTTTGCATCCACTTCGGCGATTTCTTCCCTAATACAAGTTCTCTTGATGTCGTGGCATGAAGTTATCATTTTTAAAAATTCGTACTGCTTACATTTTTCATTCTGATTGTAATTTATCTCATCGTTATTTTCTTTTTGCTTCTTATTACTCTCGTTCTTGCATTGGATAGCAGCAAAGTTTCTTGCGCACGATGCGCAAAGAGAACCCGCCGCATTATTATTACGTGTATTGCTGATACTGTTTACCAAATTCGTCAAAAAAACGTCATTATGCATATTGCTGTACCTGTTATTAGGCTTGTAAGTTTTACTTTTCTTTCTAACCGCAGAGCCTTTGAATGAATCACTGATGTCGTTCGTACTTTTCGATATTCGCCGCGGAATTTTTGACAATTTCCATCGCTTTTCACGCGGAGATCGATAACATAAGATCGTTGATGCTTTCGGCTCAATTTCCTCTAAAATAAATTGAATGTAATTTTAATTAGTAATTATTATAATTTATTTCTCATTTTAATAATTAATAAAAAATAGATCGCTAATAAACAGAAAGGAAGATTTTACTGAAGTAAAAAAAATTTAAAATTTAGATAGGTGCAGATCTAAAAATAATTAAATTAAATAATTAATAATCAAAATAATTGAGTTGGAGATTAAAAAATAATGTACAATGCTGCAAAAAATTTCGACATTCTAGCAATCAGTTTGAGACTTGGATTTTTTACATAATTATTTTAATAGGATTTTTTACATATTATTTCAATTATTAACAAATTATTTTTAGATTGATATTTATAATTAAATTTCTAGACACTTCAGCGAAACTATTCTTTTGTATATACATGATTTAATATAACGAAATTACAATAGCATGTAAATTTGAAATTCTTACGTTTCATGGCTGTCACGGGCTCATTCGGATGCAATTTATTCCATTCAGATCGAAGATAGCTGAGAACACTTGAACATCCGAGAACTATAATATCCTTTGGAGGAGTAGTGATAGGATTATGTGCTACATTAAGAATTTTAAGTTTCGGCACAAGGCCTACAATGAAAATTCATAGCTAGTATATAGAAAAAGAAAGACAATGAATGACAATTGACAAAATAATTATCATACATCTGATCAATTGCAAAGTTACTTACCAAGTTCTAGTGGCAATTTTTCGATTTTATTTCCTTGCAACAAGATGGTCTCTAACGAAGGATGTGATTTAATGGTCGTAGGTAAACTTGTTAATAGATTATTTCGAACGTCCAACCATTGTAAATTTTGCAGGGAAATGAAAAGTCTTTCGGGAAGCTCGAAAAGATTATTATTCTCTAGATATAGCATCTAAAATTCAATGAACTATTCAACACATAAAATGAAACAATGTGATATAAAAGTAATGTTGCACTGAAAAAAAGAAGAAATCTAAATCTAAATCTTGCAAACGTTTCTGACTTCAAAAATATTACATTCGTACTTGTATCGCAGGATATTTCTCAAGCATTTCAATAGGAAATGACGTAAGGCCAGTGCTCGTTAAATCTACAAAAGTCTCATTGTATATCGGAGTTCTATTTGGTGGCGGTGTCAAAGGTGGAACGAACATAATCGCAGTTTTCTTTTTCTCCGCTACTGAAGAGACGTCTGAAGCACTATCCAGCAGTACATCTTCACTAAGCGAGAGATACAAATCGTTCTCTTCATTATCTTCTAGACCTTCGTACAGTAAAAACATACATTAAAACATGAATTTATTTTGATCTATAATCGTTTTGTATTTACCTAAAGTAGTAGAGGCAGTTTTATTGCATGCGGTAAGATCGTGTGTCTCTTTACCAGAGGAAGTGTACGTATTTTCGTATAAATTGCCCATTGCATTTGTCTCGAAAATAATATCGAACTCAGATGATGTTGTTTCGTTGTCTTCTATTGCTTCCCATTTCAATGCTCGTGAAGATCTCGCTGAGGTATCAATTTCGGAATTCTTCTCCTTGTTTTCAATATCATTTTCCTGTATGCATAATGATAAGATACTGCGTATATATATATATATATATATATATATA